CGATCTTGTGAGCTTAGTGCAAGCTCAATCCCCATGCATTGTTTTTCTTTGTGAAACTAGGCAGTCGAAAGATAGGATGAAAAGATATCAATCTCATTTACGAAGGATTAATGGTCTTAGTGGAGGTTTAGCTCTTTTCTGGCATGAATCCATGCTAGACGATGTGAAGGCTATGGATGTATGATATATTGATCCTTATGCAAGTGCTGCTGCGGGAATGCCTCGTTGGAGGCTCACCCGCGTCTACGGCGAGCCCCGGACAGAGGACCGACATCGCATGCGGTCGCTTCTCCGTGATCTTCACCACCAAGTGGACATGTCTGTGGGTTGTGATTGGAGATTTCAACGAGGCCATGTGGGGCTTCGAACATTTCTTCAAGACTCCTCACTCGGCACGTCAGATGATTGACTTTCGTGATGTTTTTGAGTTATGTGGCCTTGGTGATCTTGGTTTTTCAGGTCTGCCATACACTTATGATAACCGGCGGTCCAGCCGAGCAAAAGTCAAAGTTCGGCTCAACCGGGCGGTGTTAAGCACCTGGTTGCTCCTTCATCAGACAATGCGCCGATCCTCCTAAGGTGCTTCGCTGAGTTACCATGGGAGAACGTGGGTAAGAGGTGCCACCACTATGAAGTTGCTTGGGAGCGTGACCTAGCGCTGCCTTAGGTGGTCATGGAAGCCTGGTCAGCGGCCAGTGCCATGGGCAACCTTGGTGACATGGCCACAGCGCTAGGTGAGCTCATGCACGCATGCACAGATGGAGCAAAAAGAAATTCGGTGATGTGATGAAGGAAATTCATAAATCCATACTCGTCTTGGGGAACTAATGGCTATGAACACAGATCAGAGGACTATTAGGGAAGCTACAGATCCGGCGCTGTGCGCAGATCAAGTAGGTGTGGCGTGTGTGTACAAACGGATAAAATCCCTTGTTCATATAGTGGTGTGGTGCAGAAGGACAGCGCCATCATGGCTGATATTGATAGGAGCTAGGGTCCTACCAGGTCTCGACCGTAGGTTGTAGGGGTGAGAGGTGAGTTGGCGAGAGGTTGGGCGCGGCCGGCGGCGCGTCGGCGCCGTGATCCCGCGGGAGGAGGCGTGCGGCGGTGGTGAGAGGCGGGTAGGGTTTAGGGTTCCGGCTCCCCTAGGAGCCGGGCAATAGTTATGACTTATTGCTTAATTCCAAAAGGTAGCCTTACATTTGTTTATATAATCCTTGCTGCTAATAAAAATAAGATAAGTTGGGCTATGCCCCTAACTAGATGCGCCCAATGGGCCTCCTCCGGCTATAAGTGATGTCGGTCATAACATCTCTCCCCGCCTCGCAAACAGCTCGTCCTCGAGCTGGAAGTTTGGAAAGTGTTGGCAGAACTCGTCAAGCTGCTCCCAAGTGGCGTCCTCCTCCGGAAGGCCTTGCCACTGGATCGACAAGTGCCACACCCCGCGACGCTGCTGGACCTGCAACACCTTCGTCGGTCCTGGAAGAAGGCACCCGTCGGAGGTCGGAGGAAGCAGCGGCGTGGTCGCCGGCGGGTCCCCACGGAAGGGCTTCAGCAACCCCACATGGAAGACGTCATGGATGCGGGCACCGGCCGGAAGCTGAAGGCGGTAGGCAACCTTTCCGATGCGCTCCAGCACGGAAAATGGCCCGGCGTAGCGAGGACCCAGCTTGCGCTTCGCGCTCGAGTCGAGGGACTGTGTGGAGCGGTGAAGGAGGCGCGGCCACACCCAGCCACTCCGCCTCGCGATGGTGGGCGTCGTAGTAGTGCTTGGACAGCTGTTGGGCCTGGAGAAGTCGTTGGCGCACCTCCGCAAGCATCTCATCCCGGCTGCGAAGAAGGTCGCCAGCCGCCTCCGTCCTCGCCGTCTCGGGGTCAACCGCTAGGATGGGCGGGGGCGGTCAGCCATAGACCACCTCAAAAGGCGTGGCGCGCAGGGCGGAGTGGTATGAAGTGTTGTAGCAGTACTCCGCCCACGCAAGCCGGTCCACCCAAGCACGGGGACGATCACCTGTAACACAACGCAAATACATGGCAATCACCTTGTTGACCACCGCAGATTGACCGTCCGTCTGAGGATGGAAGGCTGTACTCAGGCGCAGCTTCACGCCCGCCATCCGGAAGAGATCGCGCCAGACATGCCCAGTGAACACCGGGTCCCGGTCGCTGACGATCGAAGAGGGGAACCCGTGTAGGCGGACGATGCCGTCGAAGAAGGCATGCGCCACGGAGGCGGCAGTGTAGGGATGGCCAAGCGCGATGAAGTGTGCGTACTTGGAGAAGCCGTCGACCACCGTAAGGATGACGGACTTGCCGCCCACCTTGGGGAGGCCCTCGATGAAGTCCATGGAGATGTCAGCTCAAACCTGAGAGGGCACCTCCAAGGGCTAGAGCAGCCCGGCCGGTCGCAGCGTCTCCGTCTTGTTGCGCTGGCACGTCAGGCAAGACCGCACCCAATCGCGGATCAGGGCCCGGTCGCCGGGGATGTAGAAGTCGGCGCGGAGACTGTGGAGGGTCTTTTGCACGCCCTCATGGTCGGCTGAGTGGGCCAGTAGCAGGACCTTGTGACGGAGGTCCCCGTGATCCGGCACGAAAAGCCAGCGCCCGTGCAGGAGCAAGCCATCTGCCAAGCACCTGGCGATGGGCGCGCCGCAAACCAGATTTTAGCGCGCAACGCGTTGGGCGGCTGTTGGAGATGCTCTTAGTGGGTTCTCAGGAGACTTGTTTGAAGCTAAGGGTGTTATTTCTATGGAGCTCACGGTTGGGAGCAAAACATTGCCGACTGCTTTCTTCGTTGTTGATGTCAAAGGCCGATATAATATTCTTTTGGGACGCGATTGGATTCATGCAAATTGTTGCATCCCTTCT